AAACCTCACTTACTTCGGATACAAGAAGTGAGGTTTTTTACTCACGAAAGCTTATGCCCAAATAAATCTGTTAGTCTTTAAGGTGCCACCAGACTCCTTGTTGTTTTTGTATGTCTTAGCGATTGGCTGAACAAGAAGTAGGACTGAGTGGACTTATATACATTGTTTTGTTTTTGAGTTCAGTCATGTAACAAAAAAATCTACATTTGTAAGTTGCACTTTCATGATTGCACTACAGTACTTGTATGGGGTGAACTGAAAAATACTATTTCTTTTGTTTATCATTTTTAAAGTGCAAATATTTGTAATAAAAAATAACATAAAATAAGCACTGTACACTTTGTATTCTGTCTTGTAATAGAAATCAATATATTTGAAAATGTAGAAAAAAATCCAAAAATATTTAATACATTTCAATTGGTATTCCAATCTTTTAACAGTGCGATTAATCGCGATTAAATTTTAATTGCAGTTAATTTTTTTGAGTTAATCGCATGAGTTAACTGCGATTAATCAACAGCCCTACTATATATTAAAAGGTTTTGGCATTTGAAGCCCTAGAGCCCTGTCAAGTGTTGTCTGATAGTCTAATGATTAACTGTAGTTACCAGACTGTTTTGATATTTTCAGAACAAAACATTTTGAATTTTTTTAAACATGCCTGTTTGAGTTTTTTAATTTTGCATTGTGTGATATCATGTTATAATACAAAAGAAAAAGGTTCAAAATCAAACTGAACAAAATGCTTCAATTGATCTGAAATGAACTTTTTCCATATTTTCTTTGGCAGAGAATTTCAAAATTATTGATTTTCATTCAGATTCAGAATGAAGCCAGATTTTGAAATTCTTTGTGGAACAGAACTTCTGTTTTCCACACAGCTTTAAAAATTAACTGCCCCCCCTCAGGTAAGAGACGATCCAGCGGCCAACTTTATGCGCGGGTAGCTCCACTTACATTCACAGGAAGGGTTTCTTAGCTGAGTCTGGGCTGTAATGAATTGACATTATGCTCTCAATAGGCAGCTAGCCAACAAAGATGCTACTTAGGCCTGTGAATTGTTGATTAGATCTTGTTGCCTTCTTGTTAAAGGAAAGATCGTGAGCACAGCTGGTTGTGAAATTTGATTTTTTAAGTCATTTTTAATTTTGAAAATTTGAAATTTTAGTAAAAAAAAAAAAGGAGGATGAAATTTTGGCAGAAAATGTCTCTACTTTTTGGCTGGTTCTAATGGTGAAATTAGATCTGTCAATAGACAGGGTCACACCCATGCCAGAGGTCTGACACTGCTTTGTTTGCTCTGCCATCGGGGCTGCCTGCATGGGTGGTTTCTGGTACGTTTGTTGTGAAGGAAGGGATCACTCACTCACCTAGTAGGAGAAGAGCCAGTTCACTGGCAGTCACAGCAGGGCTGAAGGGCACATAGGTCATGCTGGACTAGATGATCAACTAGAGCCCAAGTGGGACTAAAAATTAAATTCTCTTTCCTGGAACTGCTTCTACAAATCCCTATTGTGGGTCCTATGGCTATGCAGGGGCTATAGATCAAGAGAATGCCCGTTACTGGAGGTTACCTTCCTTTCCCTTTAAATAATAAAATCACAATTTCAGTAGGGTTCATTAGAAGGTGAGGATTCTGAGCTCAGGTCAGTGAGGCACTTTGATCAGCTCCCCTGTCTGGTTAATGAAACATTGAGATCCTTTCTGCTGGTGCATCCTGACCTCGTGTTTGGGCAGGTTTGGATTATTTACTAGAAAGTAAAAGGTCTTTGCTTATTGTCCCTTGGCAGAGGCAGAGAAGCAGCTTTGTGCTGGCAATATAGTGAGAAGTGATTCTGTTCTTTTGGCTAGTTTTTGAAAAAAGGAAGCCTCGCCCCTGTTTAATTTGGTCACCTTTGCCCTTTCATTTTGTGAAACTGCAGCGGGATACCAATCAAAACAGATACATTTAGGGATTGTCAGGTGCCCTCTCTGGGGCTCTTCAGCGGTCCACTCATTTGTTTTGCCATGGATTGAATACAGTATAATTTGCATTTACTATATGACACCTTTGCACTTTCTGTATGTAGCATCTTCCATTCAATGATTTCAAAGGGACCTGATCAGTCATTTACCTCTAACATCAGCAGTAACGTAAAGCCAGGCTGTGAGCTAGTGAGTTCTGGCATATGAGAGACTCTGCCCATCACACCACTGCACAGTTGAATCTCAGGCACTGTTCTGGGGTAGCCCAACCCTCTGTTGCTTTGCATAGTTTTTGTTTTTTTAACATGGTGCCAACTTACCTCTGGCACTGGGCCCAGAGTCTGTGCACTGTTCTGATAGAGCTGCTCTTGTTCTTGTCTCTCTTCCAGACAAAGAGCACTTGAAGGAGAGGGAGAAGTTGGAAATGGAATTGGCAGCCGTGCGGTCTGCCAGTGAGGATCAGCGAAGACACATCGAAATCCTGGACCAGGCACTGAACAATGCTCAAGCCAAGGTCATCAAACTGGAAGAGGAGGTGAGTTGAGGGCATCATTCCTCTGCTTTGCTGCAAATGATTGCTTGTATTTAGTATTCACTTTACAGCTGTAATTCAGTCTAGCTCCTAAATCCTTTCCAGCACAAGGGTGGCAGCCCCCCTTTTCCCCAGACCCTTCGAAACAGAAAACAATTATAAAACACTGAGCCAGGCAGTATATGAAAGGAAACCACAATCACAGATGATTTCTGTATAACCAAAAGCTTGATCGAATTTCACCAGCTGATGGCTAACATAATGTTAGGACATAGGGTATTCTAAAGAGAAAGAAGCCTATCTACTAATTTAGGACTTGTGTAATTCATGAGAAAATATCTTATATGGGTATAGTCCATTTCTTCTCAAAGAATCCCAAAGTGCATACATATAGTGTGTGTCTGTATATAAACACACACACACACGCGCGCGCACACACACACTCTGTACCACAGAAATACAGTCATCTCTGGAATGAAGGGTGGCAGCCAGCCAGTTAATCAGTTCCTAGAACTCAGTACAACAGAACCAGATAACTTGCATTCAGGAGTATTAAAAGAAATGGCTGAGACACTCTGGTATTTAATAGATCTTTGAATACTGGTGAAGTTCCAAAGGACTGAAAAAAGCTAATGTCCCAACATTTATACAGAATTAACATTGGTAAGTATAGGCTGATTAGCTTGACATCAGTCATGGGCAAATCTTGGAAAGACTGATTGGGTGCAGTCAGTAAAGAATTAAAGAATGGTTGCATAATTAATGCAAATCAGTATAGTTTTATGGAAAACAGATTGTCAAACAAACATATTATTTGATGAGATTTCGAGATTGGTTGAGTTTAAAATAATATATTCAGACTTGTGTAAGACATTTGACTTAGTATTGCACAACATTCTGATTAAAAAATTAGCATACAAAATCAATGTAGCCCTTATTAAATGGATTAAAAAGTGGTTACTGATGGATCACAAAAAATCATTGTACATGGGGATTAGTCATCCAATGAAGATGTGTCTAGTGGATCTGTTCTTGGTCCAGTGCTATTCAATATCTTTGTCAATGATTTGGATGAGAACATAAAAACATTGCTGATAAAGTTTGCAGGGGTCTGGAAAACCTGCCTTACAATGAGACCAAAGAAGATCAATCTATTTTGATTACCCAAGCATTGTTTAAGAAGCGATTCGACCACAGTGTCAGAATACTTACATCATAATGTAGCTGTATTTACACAGGGAGAACAATTCTGATAACAGAGGACTCTTCAATCTAGCAGACAGACAAAAGCATAACGGGATCCAGTAGCTGAAGATGAAACTAGACCAATTTAGACTAGAATTAAGGTGCACATTTTTAACAGCGAAGGTAATTAACCATTGGAGCAGTTTACCTTCGGGGGTTCTCGCTTCTCCATCATTTGAAGTGTTTAAATCAAGATTGGATGTCTTTCTAAAAGATCTGCTATAGCTCAATGAGAATTTTTGAGCTTGATGCAGGAATCACTTGGTGAAATTTTGCCTGTGTTATGCAGGAGATCAGACTAGATTATCATAATTGGCCTTTCTGGTCTTACCTATGAACAGTGGAAAGAGGGAAATTCTGAATAAGGCTAAAAAGACTATGGGGTTTTGAATGTCTATACAGAGCAGATCAGACCTTGGTGAGAGGAAGGGTTGTCCAGTGGTTTGGGCACAAGCTAGGACTTGGGAGATCCAGACACAATTCACTGCTCTGCCACAGAGTTCCTGTGTGACTTTAGGCAAGTCAGTTAGGCTGTCTGGCCCATATTTTCAAAGTATCAGAGGGGTAGCCATGTTAGTCTGTATCCACAAAAACAACAAGGAGTCAGGTGGCACCTTAAAGACTAACAGATTTATTGGGCATAACCTTTCGTGGGTAAAAAACTACTTCTTCAGATGCATGGAGTGAAAATTACAGATACAGACATAAATATACTGGCACATGAAGAGAAGGGAGTTACCTTACAAGTGGAGAACCAGTGATGACAAGGCCAATTCAATCAGCGTGGATTTAGTCCACTCCCAATAATTGATGAGGAGGTGTCAATACCAAGAGAGGGAAAATTGCTTTTGTAGTGAGCTAGCCACTCCCAGTCCCTAGTCAAGCCCAAATTAATGGTATTAAGTTTGCAAATGAATTGTAGCTCCTTTTTGTTGAAGGATGGCTACTTTTAAATCTGTCATTGAATGTCCAGGGAAATTGAAGTGTTCTCCTACTGGCTTTTGTATGTTACCATTCCTGATGTCTGATTTGTGTCCATTTATTCTTTTACGTAGGGACTGTCCGATTTGGCCAATGTACATGGCAGAGGGGCATTGCTGGCACATGATGGCATATATCACATTAGTAGATATGCAGGTGAATGAGCCCCTGATGGTGTGGCTGATGTGACTGGGTCCTCTGATGGTGTCGCTAGAGTAGATATGGGGACAGAGAAGGCAACAGGATTTGTTACAGGGATTGGTTCCTGGGTTAGTGTTTCTGTGGTGTGGTGAGTATTTGCTTCAGGTTGGGGGGCTGTCTGTAAGTGAGGACTGGCCATTCTCCCAAGGTCTCTGAGAGTGAGGGATCATTTTTCAGCATATGTTGTAGATCATTGATGATGTGCTGGAGAGGTTTTAGCTGCAGGCTGTACGTGATGGCCAATGGTGTTCTGTTATTTTCCTTGTTGGGCCTGTCCTGTAGTAGGTGACTTCTGGGTACCCATCTCGCCCTGTCAGTCTGTTTCCTCACTTCCCCAGGTGGGTATTGTGGTTCTAAGAGTGCTTGATAAAGATCTTGTAAGTGTATTGTGAGGGTGAATACACTACAGATTGTGACATGCTCAGATACTGCTGTGATAAGGGCCTTCTAAGTACTTTCTGAGGTCTCATCTGTAAGATTCAGAAGCAGCAAAGTGCATGCAATTCAATTGGAAGCACTGGTGCCAAAGAATCTAGGTATTTCAAACCTAATGATTTCATTAATCAGCATTGTACATACTCTTGACGATGTAAAGTGCTATGTGCAACTGCTAAGTATTATTATTACTTTATTTTAGACTACTAAGCCATCTATTTTTGAACTCACAATATTAAAGTAACATGGAATATGTAAATTATATTCTCAGTACTGTTCCCCTTGAAATCAATGGGAGTTTTGCCATTAACGTCTTAGTTACAAAATGAACAAATAAAGGAACAGTCTCGGTAGCAAAACAAATTGAGAAGGGATGGTCATTGAAGGCAGTAGACTTCCTGTGGGCAAATCACCGAGTCTTTCTGTTGCTCCACCACCCATTTGTACGATGAGCTATTAAATACTTCCATTCTCCCACCTTTTGTCTGTTTCTAGTCACAAAATTAAATGACATTTTCAAAAGAGCGCACTGATTTTGTGTTTCACTTTTTGGTTGCCTGACACAAGACATGTTGAGATAACCATTTCTGAAGTTTTGGATCACATTCTTAAACAAGGAGTTTTTAATGTAATTTGGAATATATGGAATGAAAGAAAAAAAATAGGGAAAATCTATAATTTTATAAGGTTTTACCACCTGCAGATCTTCGTAAATCTCAATGGATTTCTTGTATTGCCAAACCATCATAGTTAAGTTAAAAAGCTTTTTGTAGTAAACCGGGGCAAGCATAACTCAAAACTATTAAGGAAACATTTAAAAAATGTAAAAAACCTACTGTGTAAATCTACATTATATGGAATGCCTGTTAATAGAAAGATTTTATTTTAAAATATGAAGGTAGTATTACCTCTGTATATGGCATTAGTGAGAACATTACTGGAATAGTGTCCAGTCTAGTGTCCGCACTTCACAAAAGATGTTGAAAAATTGGAAGGGGTTCAGAAAAGAGCTACAAAAATTATTTGAGGTCTAGAAAACATACCCTATAGTGAGAGACTAAAGAGCTCAATCTATTTAGTTTATTCAAGAGAATGTTAAGAGGTGACATGTAGAGCCCTGCAAATGTGCAGATATCTGCTTTACATCCGCAGATATCCACATATACATGTTTGAGGATCGTGGATTGGATGCGGATACAAATTTTGTATCCACACGGGACTCTAGTGACTTGATCCCAGTCTACATCTATGTACATTGGTGGAATGATTTCTGATTGGAAAGGGCTCTTTAATTTAGCAGAAAAGGGCATAATGAGATCCAATCGTTGGAAGCTAAAGCTAGACAAATTCAGTATAGAAATAGATGCAATTTTTTAATCGTGAGAGTAATTAACCATTGGAACAAATTTCCTAGGGATGTGGTGAATTCTCCATTATTTGCAGTCTTTAAGTCACGACTGGATATCTTTCTAAAAGATATGCTAGAGCTCAGACAGTTAAGGATTTCATGCAGAAACTCCTGGGTGACACCCTATGGCCTGTGCTATGCAGGAGGTCAGACTAGATGATCATAATGGTCCCTTCTGACCTTAAAATACATCAATCTAAGGCTAGATACTGGTTGAGCCAAGAGAGAAACTTTTTTTCCCGATCACAGGGCCAGGACCAACACCTGGAAAAGTTTACTGATCCTATGAATTTTTCTATTGTTCCATTAAATGTTTCTTGCTCTAATAGGTCATGAGTTATTGGATCATAAAATCATATTATTCTTATTACGCTCTTGCTTCTTCACACACACTTCAGTTCTAAGCTGACTAGCAATTATTTCCCCACCAAATTTCTCCTGTTTTGTTTAGCAAACATTTTTCACTTTAATTTTTAAAGGTATTTGTGTGCATTTGGTGCTTATGAAATTACAGACTGGGTAAGGATGTCAGAATTGCCCAATAATAATAATAATAATTCATTATTATTTATGGACAAGTGAGCCATATTTTTTGTGTATAATCAACAAAATTGTTAAGTAAGGGCTTGATACTGTGAACACTTAAGTGCATTCCTTTACTGTAGTGAATAAAATTACACGCATGCTTAAGCGTTTGCAGGACTGGAGCCTAAATTCCAATTACAAAGCGAAATTTTGCATTTGGTTAAATCAGTGCACTTCCTTTGCAGACAACAGGGTTTCTCAGTTATGAATGAGAGATAATTTGGCATGGAGTGTCTTTATTGCTACTGATGATGAATGAGGGGAGGGGGAAAGAATCCAACTTGACTCTCTGATCCCAGGCTCAGTTTGCAAGGCTGGCAGTTAGTAAAACCATCTTTTTGCTTGTAAACTGAGCACCTCCGATCAGTAAGCCACTGAGAGATCATGAACATGGAACCCCACAATATCACTCTCTCAGAGTCACACACCCCTTGGGAATCTAATCTTCTGCTTGCTTCTGGACATTGGTTCAGATTCTAATCTTGTTCATACCAATGTAAATCCAGTGAAATAACTGCTGTTTACAGCAGTGTAATGGAGATGAGAATCTGGCCCATTGTTACTGGGTCTGAAAAGACTGCTTAGAATAAGTTTTGTTTTGCACCTGTATTGTAAAAAAACCTCCATCAATTTAATTCTGATTTTTGACTTGAGTATTTTATGGTCACAGAAGACAATTTTGAGGCATAAGAATCCATTGTCAGTATAATCTGTGGGAAGGCACATAGCTTGATCTAGCATTGTGCTGGAAGAATTCCACCTATTCTGAATGAAACACCTGAGCCCCCACCTTATAATTGCTAAGAGCTTCATGCAAAGGACCACAATCAGGAAAGCATTTGCAATTCATAATAACAACTGTTAGTGGTCCTACAAAACTCAGGAAGAAAGCTGTGTATTCTGGAGTGCCATCTATTAACACGTTATCTATTAACTAATTATTGACTAGAGCTGGTCAGAAATTTTCCGGTTAATCTTTTTTGTTGTTGTCAAAAAATGCCAGTTCATCAAAATCAACACTGTTCGCAAACCCGGATCAGGTTCAAGGAATTTCCTGACTCAAAAAACCAAAAAGGTTTTGAATTGTTGAAACATTTCATTTTGACATTTTCAAAATGACTAATTCCAGTTTGAAAGGACTTTTTGCTTTGAAATTTAAGCTCATAAGACCAAAAAAAAAAAAAGTTCTGACAAGAAGGTCAAAATCAAAATGAAATCTGTTGAAATTATCATACTGAAACAATTCAGTTGACCTGAAATGGAAAACAAATTGGTTTTCCAGTTTGCAAAAGTTTAAGATTTTGACTTTTTGCCCTGATTTGAGAGGGGCAAAAATATTGAACTCTTGAAAATATTTGTGAAACTGGAAAACTACTGTTTCCTATTTACATGTATACAGACATCTCTCTGTATAGAGCACTCCTCTACCAATAACTGTGTTAAACATTAGTCTTTCAACCTCCTATTTGGACTGTAAACTGTGCAAAGAACCAAAGCCACATGAGCACAAATAAATGAGGAAGAGTGGGAGTGTCTGTGTATCTAGACTAGAAGCCAGGAATCCTGCGTATGCTAGGAATTAGCTGTGACTTTGGATAGTCATATTAACCTCATATTGTAACTAAAGTCATATTAACCTCTCTGCCTCAGTTTCATATCTATCAAGTGGCAATAATCACACTGATCTCTGTAAAGTCTGTATTTAACAAAATGCCAACTATCTAACCCCAACTCCTGGCCCTAGTGAACTTTTTAATCCGGCTAGGAATGTTTTTAATTGGTTTGGATTTGCAGCCTTGCTTTATGCTAATTGATTTTTTCTGTACAACAAAGCAGTTATGTTTTGAAGGGGATTAAACGTTTATGTTGTTGGGATGGAAGAACAAGAACACGATATCTCACCAGAGAGAGGCATTGCAGCCTGCAGGGTGAAGTCTTGAATCTGTCTGCAGCAGTCAAAGTGATATGCTTGCAAGTTTAGGGTTAGCATTCTAGCTTCAGGGGAAAGGGGACTGTATCTTAGTCACTCTTGATAGAAACAATTTGCATTTTGGATTACACTGGAACTGATCCTGAGAGGCGCTGAGCAATTGCAACTCCAATTGACTTCACTACACCTCAGGATCAGGCCCATTTTTTGTCCTAGTTGCTTCCCTAGGATCAGTTTTCACAGAAGGCTTTGATGCCCTTCTCACTAACATGTGCCGTGGGCTGTCTGTGGCATATCTGAACTCTTCCCCAAAGGTTCTAAGGCATGTTAATCCCTGCCATGGATTAATATCATTTTACCTTGTTGTCCTGCAATGACCACTTCTGTAGCACAGTGGGAGGCAGCAAGAATAATGGCTCAGATAGCGATGCACCTAATGTCTGCATTAGGGTTACCATATTTAAACATTAAAAAAAGAGGACACTCCACGGGGCCCTGGCCCCGCCCCCACCCCAACTCCACCCCTTCCCCACCCCAACTCCACCCCTTCCCCAAAGTCTCTGTCCCCTCCCCTGAGCGCCCCGCTTTCCCCCTCCTTCTCCCAGCCACGTGAAACAGCTGCCCGAGCGCTACCAGCTTCACGGTTTGCTGGGCAGCCCCCAGACCTCCAGACCCTGTGTCCCCGGCCAGGCGCTTCCCCTCCCGGGCTCCGGCTGCGCTGGGGAAGCGCCCGGTCAGGGGGCGCAGGGGCTGGAGGTCTGGGGACTGCCCGGCAAACTGTGAAGCCGGTAGCGCTTGGGCAGCTCAGCTCTTCAGCTACACAAAGCTGAGGTGTCTGGGGGGAGCAGCAGCAGCTACCGCTGCCACCGCCACGGGGGAATCCGCCTGCAGCTCGCAGCCTGCCAGAGCCGCTCTAAGGTAAGCAGGGGACTGGGGCAGGGATGCCGGCAAAACAAAGCTAGGAGTATTTTCCCGGACATGTTCGGCTTTTTGGCAGTTGCCCACCGGACAGGTATTTGAGGACCAAAAATCCGGACATCTCCGGGAAAATCCGGACGTATGGTAACCCTAGTCTGCATCCACTTGCATGCCTAAAAGGCCACAGAAAAAGTCTGCAGTCCACTCCCACAAACTCCTATTAGGGTATGCTACTTGAGCAAGTCAGGATTAATCTCAAGCCATAAAATGCCAGGTTGCAGAATCCTCATGTAGCAGTGGGCCTATAAATCACTCAGTGCATGCATTAGGAGTAAGAATGGCTTTAACTGATACTAACAGTCACCCATATACATCTGTATTACCTAGCCCTTGGTAGACAAGAAAACATCTGGAAACGGTCCAGCAGATGTATACCTTCAGCTAAGAGTCTGCAGATGCCTATCCCACCATCGGAGACTGGATCATGCAGATATACAGGGTTAAGATTTATTTCTTGAGTCATAGAGTTGAAGGCTAAAAGGGACCATTCGATCATCCAGTCTGAACTCCTGTATATGACAGGTCAATTAAATTTCACCAAGTTATCCCCTTATTGAGCCTGATAACTTTTGTTTGGCTAAAGCATAGATCTTGTTTTGAAAACATCAATAGATGGAGAATCCACCACTTCCCTTGGTACTTCATCCAGGTGATTAATCACCTCACTGCTAAGATGTGTGGCTAAATTCTAATTTGCATTTGTCTGGCTTCAGCTTCCAGCCACTGGTTCTCGTCATGCCTTTCTCCACTAGATTAAAGAGCCCTTTGGTACCCAGAATTTTCTCTCTGTGAAGTTTTAGCTTCAGTGAAAGCCACATTTACATGCAACATGCACATGCCAGTGATTTATGAGATCATATCACAACCTGATTCATAGACATAAACATTCATGTCATAATTGTTTGGCTTCTGCTCTTCTGTTAATGACTCTGTGCCCTCCGCTTGCGCTCTGCCCCCAGCTGCGTAAGAAGCAGGCCTATGTCGAGAAAGTGGAGAAGCTGCAGCAGGCTCTGACCCAGCTGCAGGCAGCATGTGAGAAACGGGAGCAGATGGAACGGCGATTGCGCACGCGGCTGGAGCGGGAGCTGGATTCGCTGAGGATGCAGCAGGTGAGAGGCTGATTGGTCATGGGCCGCAAGCACATGCATCCCTATGCCTGGGTAAACAAGGATGGAATGCTTCATGCCCTGTGCCCCTGGCATTACCTCCAGCATGTGCCTTGGCAATGAGAACAGGAAGAATGATGCCCTCTCACCCTTCGCCACCATGATGATAATAGAAACAAAAATGGTATTTTATTTGCCCATCCAAAATAATTTCCTTCCCCCCTCTCAGTGAGTGGGAGAGTGCAGTTTTGTGAGGCTGAGTTAGGGGGTGCTTCCAAACCCTTGATTGTTTCTGCAGTTCTTCATTAGCTATAAGTGCCTTTTTCCATTGGTTTGATGCAGTGGTTGCAAGAGTTTTTCTCTGATGTTGGCCACAGTTCGCTAAGCCTTTTTGTGAGCTTCACATTGGATTAACGCTGCGGTGCTCTCTCTCTGTGGGGCTACCCAGGAAAGCCATTTGGAAGCTGCAGCTCATTCAGCGTGGAACAGCTAGCTTGCTTATTAGCGTTAGCCAAAGTGCATGTTACTCCACTGCTTCAACGGCTGCCCTGCCTCTTTATTTGATTCTAGGCACAATTCATTATGATCCTTAAAGCCCTGCCTGGCTGAGTCCTAGTTCTAAGAGGGACCACGTCTCTCCCTATGCAGCATTGTGGCAGCTGAGTTCAGCTGACGTGATCTCACTTACAGATCTGAGTATCTGGGGGTAGACTGTTTTCAGAGAGGGGCCCTTTGTTGTGTCCCTATTGAGAGTCCTTAAGGCAGGTGCTGAGGTTAGATAGCAAAGTACATGATGACAGACTGCTAATCAGGCCTGCGCTGTGTGACTATTCATATAGCACTCACTAAACTCCTATAGTCCTGACCCTACATGTGCTTGCCTTGGTGTAAAACCTGCAAAGACTCTCCGTTGGTTGCTAAATATACCAAAAAGCAAACCAGCTCAATGACAAGCTAAACAAATACAGGAGCATTTTGGAGAATTGTCATATTCTTAGGATTTTTTTTTTTTTTACCAGTCCCTTTAGGGAGATTCAAGAGTTCCTTGACTCCATGGGGTGTTGTCAGGGCTCCTGCATTAGAGCTGTGAGAGTGCCTGGTTGAGTTTTAAAGCTCTGAGTTTTCCATGCAGCACTGAAGCAGAAACCTGGATGCTTAATACTCATTACTGGACACATACCACATACTTTTTTCATTTTTTACTCAGGACAGTCATTTTTAACTATATCAAAGGTCACCCTGGTGGAAATTTCTGGATTTTAGATGAATCCTTCATTTAGAAAAACCATTTTCATTGCTGATTTTAAATAGAGGGTTATTTATTATTTCTCCACCACTTTTGCTTGATGGCGCTTGGCTCTCTCCAGATGCTGGGGAGACACTAGTTACGGCTCCATAGTTAAGGTTGAGTGTAGTTTTGCACTGAAAGTAGGGATTCAACTGCTTTCATTATCTGCTTTCAAAAACTACCCTTTGCACCAGATCTGTTCAAAAGGGAGGGTAGGTAGGGAAAACTCTGTAAGTGTGTACAGGTGAATGCAGAGGAATGTAGGGGTTGAAGGAGTGAGTGGGAAACGGGTGTGTTGCCTGTGTGTGAAGGAGAATATGGAGGGAGTGGGGAAGCTGGGGGGAGAGATGCAGGAGAATGTGGGGGAAAGGGTGTAGGGGAAAAGTGGGGAATATACTCCACTATGTTGCATAGCTGTGGCAGTGCAGAGCAGCTGTAAACCCCATCTGTACTGGCTAGTATGCTCTGGCTGATTTGTGCTGCTCCAGGGAGGTGTAAAGCAGCCAGAGCACACTGGTGAATCTGGCTATAAAAAACTTAACATTAAATAAATAAATAAATAAGATGTTCTAAGGTTAATATTACACATCTTCATGTCATGAGAAATATCACAAGGCAACATTCTCTTTTGTTTCCTATGTAGGGTTTAATATATGAAAATTGTAATTAAAAAAAAACAAGGAAATTCCTAGACAAAAACAATGTTAAGCTGAAGTTAGGTTTGAGAGTACACATATCAGTCATTTAGGGTAAAACACATTACAGGAATGTTGCAGTTATCCCCCAAACAAGCATTATAAACCTAAGAAATTCAGATTTCAGGCTAAACTTACCATAATCAAAATATGGTATGGAAATGCAGAACTGGAGTACTCAAACAACCTTGACTCCGCCCTGTGGTGAAACAATGAGTGGGGTGGGGTGGGGAAGGAAAGCATAAAAAATCTAATGTGCTTCAAAAATCAGTCTAATTTCAGACTAAGCACTAAAATTCCTTAGCCGTAATCATATGGTTATTGCATGGTGTCACTACAGAGCAGAGTCAAGGTCCTGAACTGGGGCCAATGTAAGTAAGGAATTCATACACTCTCCAGCCTTATCTTTGGCAATTGCAACTCTTAAACACTTCACAATTCAACCGTATCATTTATAAAGCTTTGGGATTTACACCTGCTGAGTATCTGTCCCATAGTTTTTCTGATAGACTTTTACTGAAAATGCAAGTTAGTATCAAATCGGATCCCATAGAACCAAACACTCAAACAGCATTTAATAGCATTTTCTGGTGTAACATGACGTTGATTTGGTGTATGGAAATACATGCACAAATTCAGAATAATTTACATGATTACAAAGAACCATTTCTTCTGCTACTCCAGTAAATTATTTATATGTGGGTTAAAAACAAAATTGGATGGATGTGCAGAGACACGGTTCTATGAATGTTCCCCGGGATCTCATGGTTCTTTTTGGGAGCTCTGCACCTATGTGTTTGAGCGTGTACTTTTATGCTTAGTTCAACTGTCTGAGCACAGTTACTCATCTAGGTAAGTAACTGCGCCTCTCGCCTTCACTTATCACCTCCTTCTCAAAACACATCGTAATGTTATTTTGAGGAGTAGATTAGTTCATGACAAAGAAAAAGCATTGAAGAGATTGCAGAGAGAATTCCCAGCTGGCAGCCAGCACTGAGATCAGAACATGTGACTACTGGCTGCTGAGGGTCAGCGAATGGATATACTAGTGCATTAAGCCACCATTTGAGAAAAACAGCTGAAGGGTGTAAAAGGGAACATAACTGAGGCATGACATGTAGTTTTAACTTAGAAAGTTCACACATTTCCCACTGTCGAGAAACACTGCTGCTGCCAGAACCCTACTGTAATCAGGGCTTGTTATTGCTAAGACTTGTGGGGAATGGACACACTGCTACACGGTGTTGTTGCTTAAAAGCAAAGGACCTGATTCTGCTCTTAGCTACATGGGGGTAAATCAGGAGTAACTCCATTGACTTAAATGGGGTTATAACCGTGTAAAACCAGTGTGAGAGGCGGATCACGGCCCCAAAAAAGAAGATAGTTGCAGTTAAGTAACATTAAAAAAAAAATCTTGTTTTCAGTGTTTGAATATCAGAGAGCCACATGAGTCTATGGTGTAATCAGAATGGGCTTCTGGATCAGGCACTGGACTTGGGTTCAGGGGATCTAGGGTCAATCTCTGGTTTTGCCACAGACTCTCTGTGTGACCTCACAAGTTGCTCAATCTCTCTGTGCCTCAGTTTTTACCAGGAAGGTGGAAAATCTGCAAATATTTCTGTACTTCACAGGGATGTGGGGGGATAAATGCATAAATACTGGGCAGGCTACTACACTTAGTGGGTTGGAATTGTCATTAGCACCATGTTTAAAGTGTCGTAATTCTGGAACACCTTTTCCCTTCAGATTTTCACTTCAAAAAATTGCCTTGGCCTCCCATCTGACCTGCGAGGTTAGAGGGGAGGCGGGTATGAATGTTTGGTTTATTTTTTAATTTGAGGGAGGGCCAAAACTGGGATTATGATGAACACCTAGCTCTAATTGTACCTGTGGGGTGAGTCCCATCACTCCATAAAATGACACCTGCTATCCGTGTATCACAGTCATATCTATGGAATATTGAGTCATGCCAAATAAAATAGACTTATACTACTTTTTACCCCAGTGAGCTTTATAGACCCAGTCCACCTAGGAGAGAATGAGCTAGAGAGTCTATTCTGGCTCAGGTATCATCAACAGAATTATTAACTAAGTTCCAAATGGCCAATCATTATTGTTGGTGATGCATGTGCCAGGGACAAAAGAACCTCTTAACTGTATATTCCAGGTTGAGTTTACAGGGTTGGCATTTATTTTGATCTGAAATTAATAAGACACTCTATACATAGAGTTTCAGGGTACAATTTGTACAGAGTGGAATTGCTCTGTAAAAATATAATCATACCTTCCAGGACTGACATTATCTGAAGCATAACTGATGTTTTTGCTGGTGAAGCATCACAACAGTTGCCCCCAAAGGATTGTTCCATAATGGATTATTCCAGAAAACGTCTTCCAAAAAAGTCAGTATTACCCTAAAGCCAAAGTTCACTTAAGTCTTCTCCTGCATTCCCAAGTCATGTTTTCTGTCATCAGGAGGAAAGGTTCCAAAACGAAGAACTAGAGGCTGTAGTATTTTATGGCACGAATTCCAGAGAATGGAAGTGTAGGTTACACAGTCACCCCTGATTTCATGGTTTTGATATATCACAGAGGGCCTGCCTTGCCCTGGGCAGCTTGTGATGTGGTGCAGTTGACAAACAGGGGTGTGCACAACATAGTTTCCTCTTCTTTGACACAATCTTATGTGCCACTAAATGCAGCAACTCTTATACTTTATAAAACACTTCAATAATGTCTTCTCTCTGAAGGTCTCACAGAACTTTACAACCCTTAATTCTCATACTATCCCCTATGGATTAGGTAACTAATGTTATCCCCATTTTAGGTACAAAGAGGTTAAGTAATTTGCCTAAGGTCCTATTTTCACTGTTCCTGTGGGAGCTGAAAACCAGCGTTTCTGCTCAGTTTCAAACCAGGGACTTTTTGCATGCTAGATAAACACACGAACCTCTACACTACAGAAACCATCTCCTAAGATCATGTGGGAGAGCCAGGAATAGAGCCAAGGTCTTTTAACTCCCCAGCCTCTGCATTAGCTTCCCTGCTTTGGATAAACAATTTTCTATTCTATCAGGTTCTTTCATCCACTGTGTCCGTTTTGCTTATCCCATAACTCTGAACTTTCAAAAGATGATGCCAAATGAGATAATGTGTAAACAAACATCAGTGTTATCCATTTCATACAAAAGCTTTATTCACACTCATGGATTGATTTCTTTATCTTATGATGATGATGATTGAAATGCCGTTAATGTGCTAAGTGCAGTAGAGCTACTGTAGCTGGTATTAAGAATGCTATGTAAACTCATACGTCTAGGGGAGACGGACATTCTGAAACTGGTGCTTAAGAAGCCATAGTAGATAAAAGGGGCCAGATCCTCAACTGCTGTAAATCGGCATAGATCCATGACCCAGAATAGGGGCCAAGTGCCATTTAATTTAGCATGCAATATTGCTTTGCTTCTGGGTTATATTTAACTATTTTCTGATTCCCCATAATACCTACACATATTGGTATCCATGCATGAGAGAAGTGTGACAAAGTGTCAGCAAAAGAGGTATTTTAATGCTAGGTTTGGAGTATCCCACAATGCCCTTGCATTCCAGGATGAGCAGCAGGGATCCTAGTTCTGTCAGCCTGGTTCAGCATCCCACAGAATAGATGATGGCCTTAGTGAGCATTTGGAAAGCCAGTCCTGCCCGCACATTTTTCGAATGTAATAACGGAACACAACCTTTGCTTGCATTGCACCTTTCATACAAACTGCATCCCCAGCTGCTTGGCAGTGCAAGACAGCAGCCATTACAGAGATAAAAGACAAAGGGTGGGACTTTTTAAAGCACTACGTGTAGGTGCTGCACTGGTAAAACTCCCATTAACTTCCATGGAAGCAGATTTAGGCCAACACTGAGCTCTTTAGAAAATCCCACCCAACATTTTCAAACTCAGGTTTGAAACTTTAACTAACTAAACTTTAACTTTAGGCCCCAAGGCCCAGATTCTCAAAGGTATTGAAGGACCTAATTTCCATTGAAAGGAATAGGGGTTAGGCACTTAAGTACCTTTGACGATCCGGACTCAAATCCATATTTAGGTACCTGTTTAAGTGGATGGATTTTCCAGGGTGTTGAGAACTCCCTACTCCCACTGACTTCATTTGGATTTGCAAGTACTCAGCACCTCTGAAAAGCTGGCTGATGTAGGTGCCCTAACTTGAGGCTGCCAGGTTTGAAAACGCCAGCTTAAAAAACAGAAGGAGGAGAGAAAAATGAAGGAGACTGGACAATGGGGGAAGAGAGATTTGAAAAGAGATAGCAGGCCAATAAGGGAGGGAGACACAGGCAGGCTCTCTCAGACAAAGCTGATCTCTTGCACAGACAGTGGTGAGATTACATGAAGGAACCAAGGAAAGAAGGGAAAGGGGCGGAGAGACAAGAAGTCAGAATTTGTTTCAGCTCCCATGCAGTGGTGTGGGCATGCTGTAATAGGCAGCAGGCTCTGCTAGCCTAGTTCACAATTCCATTTTTCAGCAATCCATCAAGTATGTTTTATGGGCAGGTGTGTGCCTGGGATAGCAGCTCATGTCAGCTCTGCCAGCCTGTTTCACCAGCTCATGCAGTATATGCATGTGTGAGGGTGAGTAGCTAGAATGCCAGCTCGATCAGCCCATGAGGTATTAACACACCACGGTGGACAGCTGGACTGCTCCACCCCGTGAGGAGTGTGCCTGCTGTGGTGGGACCACCAGCTCTTCTAGCCTCTTTTAACATCTTTTAGCCCTCAGTCAGTCACCTTCAGGAACTTGGGGAGGACCCTCCCTTCATCTGGAAGTTTTATAAACACCACCTGTAGCTTGCCTCCTTTGCTAAGCAATAAACCAGCTTTCCTGATGCTGTTGAGTTGCTAGGGCCAGTTTCTAGAGCAAACTTGTATCTCACTGGTTCTAGGCAATAACTATTGGGTCACTCTTTGACAAGGAGCTCTATTTAATCTCTGATCGCCAGGGTGGCTACTGATTCAGCAACAGGCCACCCAAAAGGTTGAAAGCCCCTGGGTTTGTTTTGCAGAAGATTTTGTAGACGAGGTGTTTGCAGCTCTCGAGCTGGTGCAGGCTGACTATCTTCCATTGTTTCCCTCTCCCCAACTCCAGAGACAGGGGAACTACCAGGCCGAAAGCCTGCCAGAACACAATGCCCCGGCACTGATGGAGCTAGTGCGGGAAAAGGAGGAGAGGATTCTGGCTCTGGAAGCTGACATGACCAAGTGGGAGCAGAAGTATCTAGAGGAGAGCACAATCAGGCACTTTGCCATGAATGCAGCAGCCACAGCTGCAACAGAAAGGTAAGATCACGTTGTTCCAGGCAGTCATCAATACACTTAATCGAATGAGGCTTGTGTAGTAAAAAGAAGTGTGTTTTCTTAGGGACAAATTTGGCTTGCTTTATCCAGTCATGTAGTCCCATTGAAGTTAATGGGACCATTCACCATAGCAAGGCCATGAGGCCTTACCATTCCGGCTCAGGACCAATGGTTCATCGAGGCCAGTGAACCAGCCTCCAGCAGTGTCCTGTAACTAGGGCCCTGTGTAAATCATGATTTATTTATTTTTAGAAAATTCACGACAGCATAAATGGCGAAGTATTGAATTTCATGGAGTTTGCACAGAATGAAGTTTACAAGTAATGTTCATCAGTTTCATTAATTAATTGACTATTGTTACTTGTAAAATTCATTCAATCCTTGAAACAGACTTTGCTGTAGACTTTTACCTTTCAAAAAAATATTTAAAAATCATGGTTTGGGGGCATTTTCACAACTTCCATGCCCTCCAGGAAATCATGCTTTACATAGGGTCCTACCTATAACTGTTGCATCAAAGGAAGGCAGAAGTTTTCCTTAACAGACCTGGTTGAATGTACTTGACATGTGCGGGGGAGGAGGGCGGATTTCTCTCCATAGTATTAAGGGCTCACAAAGGAATTTCCCTTCATTTACTGCCAGATACTATCAAGTATTTTACATAGACCCAGGCATTTTAATATACCCAGAAAATGAGTGTATTTACTGGGGGCTTGATTTTCAGAGATGTATGTCATGGGGCGCACCACTCACCGCCTGACTGGTGGTACCTTTTTCTGGTACTCTGCGGATTAGCTTGAGGCCGACAACCCCCCACCTATGGTTTGCATATCATCACCCTGTCCACCTGAAGCTCCTCTCACAGCATCCTCTTTGTGGCTCGGCCCTGTGGCTGTGTCACAGGTTCCCCTCCCCCCAGGGGAGGTTTAGCTCCTCAGTAGTCCTAGGCAGTTCTCTCGCTCACTGCCTCGGTGCCACTCGCCCAGTGGCTGGTAGGAGAACCCAGGGCCACCCTCTTCTCCAGGTTCCAGCCCAGGGACCCTCAATTTAGCAATCTGGGCCTTCTCTCCCTGGCCTCACTGCTCTATCCCTGAGCTTCTTCCTACTGTTGGTTCCCCTTTTCTTCATAGACCTACCAGTTCCCCAAAGCCTCCTCCCTCTTCCCAGGTAGTGTCTGCAGTCTTCACTCATTCCTCCTTTTCTCCTGGGGGTGTCAGCCTTTTTCCCAGTACCCCTTTCTGCTTCAGCCAGGGGTGAAAGTAACACAGACGACTTACCAGTATGGGGCCTGGCTCCGGGCCCCCAGAAGGGGCAGGGCCTCGGGCAGAAGGGTGGGGCTGGGAGTCAGCCTCCCACAGCCAGCCCATCCGCGCTGCCTGGCCCTCACCACCTGGGGCTCCGGCCACTGCTGCAGTAGCCCCGGGCTCTTTTAAATTGCTGGGTCAACTGCCCAACTGAGCTTCCTTAATCAGCTGCCTAAGGGGTTAATTGGCCCATCTGGCCTGCATTAAACCCTGCAAGGTGATTGTGGGGTAGTCACCCCATCACAATGCAAAATACCTACAACTGCTGTTGACTTCAGCTAGACTTGTGGGTGCTCAGCACCTTTGCAAATCAGGCCCTTTGTGTCTTCAGAATAGGGTTTTTAATATTTCTGTGTCACAGTTAATACAAGGCATTGTCACTGGTGTGTACTGGCATCTAAAATATCATAATTGAAAGGACCCTATCAAATATTTTTGATCCTAAACGTAGGTATGACTTTATAAAGAAAAGTAAAATAAACAACAACAAAACCAAGGTTTGCAAAATTTCACATAAAATATGTTTTTAATCAGTTATATATTTTTCTTTACATAAATATTTTCTTGAAAATTTTCCCCTATGGCTTTGGAAACCCAAACAAACCAGCTTTTTGCTAGTGTATGAGAACCAGAAAGTGAAACCGAACTTGAAACCGGAAACTAAATTGATCAGTCTCATTTTCTCATCCAGCATTGAAGTGCAGAAGCAAACAGCAAATTAGATTCAATGTTGCTGACTCTTGTGATTTTCTTTCAACCCTCACATTATTTGGTGTTTTTCTTAAAGCGCCAGCACATAGAGCCAAGTGATTACATGAGAATCTCAGCTTTCACTAATTTTTTAAAAAAATTTCTAGCCTTTGTTATTGTACAGAAAAAACATGAAACATGATTCAGGTGTACTTCAAAGGCTCAGAAACCTGAGGGGAGTTAAAAATAACCCACAATTCATTTATTTATTATTTATATCACCAGCTAAGGATTTATTGTTTAATATAGTGGACCAGATCTTCAACTGAGGTAAATCAACATAGGTTCATCGAACCCAGTGGAGCTGAGCTGTTTTAGACTGGCAGAGGATCTGGCCCATTGTTTTTATCTTGACTGTATCCTTTAATTTTAATTCATTTTAGAACATGAGATTTCACCTCCAATTTGTTCCCGCCCACCTTTTGTTGTATTTTCAGAAATACTCATTTCGCTAGACTATTACACCCTCCAAATATAGCTGTAGATTTCCAGTGAAATGTGAATGGTAAAATAACAGTTACATGCCTGTTTGTATCGAAAGAGCCCTTTTATTGAACCAAGTGACACTAAAGGGTGTGGCTATGTCTTGTGTTGCTAGGGATACCTCAGTCATTAACCACTCGCGGAATGGCAGCTACAACGAGAATTCCCTGGAGGTTCGAATATGGCAGGAAGAGGAGGAGATTGTTCAAGCCAACCGGAGGTGTCAGGACATGGAATACACGTAAAGGACAGCTGTTAAATATTTACCACGGGATGTGTGCTAAAGGTCTTATCATGAGATCCATAGCATCCTAACTGCTCGGATTCTTGGATAAGCCAGCCCACGTGTCATTTAGCCCTTTGCATGCCAACAGGCTCATTCTAAAAGGAGGGATTTTGCTTCAGTTTGACTTTTAGTCATTTCACTCTTCAGCTATTAAAAGACAGAGATTAGGTTCTGCCTCCTCCCCTCCCTGGATTTAAACCTTCTTCACATCAAAGAGAGACCTTAAAAACGGATGGCTTCCTTACTAGAAAAAGGAGCTTGGCATGAGCTTGCATGATCTCACTCAAAATTCTGACTTTTTAATGCAAGACTCACTAGTAGCCAATGATGTAATTGTGACTTCATTGCTGCCCAACCAAAAAGGTGTGTGTATGTATCTGATATCTCTCTCTCAGAGTTACACCTCTACCCCGATATAACGTGACCCGATATAACATGAATTCGGATATAACGGGGTAAAGCAGCGTTCTGGGGGGGCGGGGCTACGCACTAAGGCAGATCAAAGCAAGTTCGATATAACGCAGTTTCACCTATAACGCAGTAAGATTTTTTGGCTCCCGAGGACAGCGTTATATCGGGGTAGAGGTGTATATGAAAGGTACCATGGCATGTAGGGACAAACCTTCAAAACTGAACACCTGAAGTTGAACCCACAAATAAAATGCATACACAAGTATGTTGATAAATTGGAGAGGGTCCAGAGAAAAGCCCCAAGAATGATTAAAGGATTAGAAAACATGCCTTATAGTGATAGATGCAAAGAACTCAATCTATTTACCTTAACAAAGAGAAGGTTATGGGTTAACTTGATCACAGTTTATAAATAGCTACATGGGGAACAAATATTTGATAGTGGGCTCTTCAATCTAGCAGAGAAATGAATACCATAATCCGATGGCTGGAAGTTGAAGCTAGACAAATTCAGCTTGGAAATAAGGCATACATTTTTAACGGTGAGGATAACAATTTACCAAGTGATTCTTCACAGCAATTTTAACATTAAGATTGGATGTTTTTCTAAAAGTTGGGCTCTAGAATTGTTTTGGGGAAGTTCTATGCCTGTGTTATATAGAAGGTCAGACTAGAGGATCACAGTGGTCCCTCTTGGCATGGAATCTATGAAAGCAGTAGTCGGTACAGAACCTGTCTATGCACACACAAGTTCCCATTTGCACGTGCAGTTTTCCCATTTTGAGCATACAAATGCAAATATGTATGTGGCACGTCCAATTACTTGTTTGCTAGAGCTGCTCAAAATATTTGTAATCAAAACTCTTTTTTTATTAAAAATGGCTTTATGACTAAGCAGCAATTTTTTTTTGAGAAAATTTCTGTTTTCACAGATATTCCCCAGGTTTTGTTGAAAAGCAAAAAAAAGGCCAAACAAAATTCTGACAAAAAAATTCATGTTCTTCACATTTTTTTTTCCAGAAAATAAAAATATAATTTAACCGGTTCTATGTTTTTTATCTTATATACGCATTCATGCATGCATGCATACACACAGAGGACTTGAAATCAGTGGGAATTTTTCCATTGACTTCTTTGGATCAGGATTTTATGTTGCAAGTGCAAATTAGGCACTCCATTTTGAAAATGACAGCCTTAAAGTTTCTACCTCCCTTATATGTCTATTTAGACCATATGTGACATTTCTTTTTTAAATCCCTCCCAAAAAATGTCTGCTGTATTTGGCTATATTTCATAAGACATGATTTTTATTTGACTGGCATTTTAATTAGTTGGTTCAAACCTTTTCAGTTTGATTCAGTCTTAAATTCTCCACTGCCATGTTTCCACAGCCTATTCTCAAATAATTGGTTCGTTATCATCTTAAAACACTTTCAGGGTCTATAGAAGAAAGCTGTTGGGGCCTCCAGTAAGTTGGAAAACACAGACCATTAGTTATTTCCACAGCTTTCAACAGAAAGTAAGGGCCCAATCCAATGCTCACTGAAGGCAATGGAAGTTTTTTTTCATTTATTTCAGTGGCAGTTGGTATGGGCCCTCAGAGATTTGGGCAAGATAATTTAATTATTAAAATCTTTATTTCAATCTTTTATAGGGCCAACTCCTGAGGTCTTTACTCAGTTTTAATTCAGTCAACCTTGATTCAGGCAAAACTCCCCAGTTGCAGTCTGCCACAGTAAAAGAACTCAGGATTTAGCCCAGAAGTATTGTGGGGCAAAGAAAATTGATCCTTTACCTATCTGAGTGATCCCATCAGTCCATAGCATCTTTCGGACTATTTTTCAGATTATTCTTGCTAGTTTATTGAAGTAATATCAGTGGACCAGCTTAATTTAAATCTATTTATTTATTTAATCTTATAAAAAGCATCACCATTGGCTGAATAGCAGGAAATATTGCCCAGTTAAGTTGTGCAATTGCCCTCAAAGGAAATGGTGGAAATTTTATTGTTTGAGTTGCTTAAAACTGGAAGGGGTAAAGCAGCAGAGAATGTACTACAGGGAACAGTCCTGAAAAGGCAGCAGTGGAATAGCTGTGATCTAGAAGTTATTTTTCATCTTTGTAAACAGAACATTTGTATTTTGGCAGGATAAAGAATCTGCATGCGAAAATAATTGAGAAAGATGCCATGATCAAGGTCCTTCAGCAGCGTTTGCGGAAGGATGCTGGGAAAACAGACAGCACAAGTTTACGGCCTGCTCGATCGGTCCCGTCCATCGCTGCAGCAACGGGTGCGCATTCCCGCCAGACCTCTCTCACCAGCAATCAGATAGCTGAGGAAAAGAAGGAGGAGAAGACCTGGAAAGGGAGCATAGGTGAGCTCCAATTTGAGCTAGGCATTGGCAGTGCCAATGATTTCAGAGAGAGGACAGCTTAACAAGTAAAATCTGTCTGTGGCCAGAATAAGACTTTGAGGGGCAGCTTTGAAAGTGTGATTGGCCACCTTCCACAAACAGTTTGAGCCACCACCCTGTGTGTTCAGACACAGCTGTACTCGCCTGACAATCATACCCAGAGGACTGCAGGCAGTATATGCACATTTCATGGGAATGAATCCTACTCTGGGCTAGGAAAAGTTGCATTAAACTAGAGAGCAGAGAGCACTTTGGATAGGAATTTGCAATGTAATATGGCAGGAAAGAAAGAAGGCATGCCATTTTGGGCTGTGTGCAAAAAGGCATTACAGTCCAGCGATAGCCCCTCTCTGCATGGCACTGCTGAGACAGCAATTTCAGAATGCTGTGTTCAGTGTGTTCGATGTCAGAACAATGTAGGCAAACGAGAGGGGCTTCCGAGAAGAGCAATTGTTCTGAAAGGACTGATGTATCAGAACAGGTAAAAATGACTGAATCTGTACACCTTGAGGAAATAGTTTCTGAGAGTGTCATGGGAACAACATGAACACCGAAGAAGAAGAAGAACAATGTAGAATATAATGAGTGGCAATGGGATCAAAGGAAGGGTCTGGTGCTTTTATCTGCTCATATAGGCTGCAGGAAGTAAATATGCATGGATCTGAGAGTAGGAGAGTGAAAGATTGGCAATAGAATCTTCATTGTATGCTCCTTCCCTCCCGGGTAGCCTGCTGAAGCTCCTCTATCCCAACTCTGCAAGGTTGGGCCTCCATGGCTCTGGGGAACGATGGACGGGGTGCATGGCAACTGCTGTATGAGGTGCACTTTACTCTTAACCAGTCAGCTGTGCTCCTTTGAGAACCATGGGAGGAAGGGGAAGTTGGGTGGCACCATAGTGGTGCCAGCACACCACTGAGTATGTGCAGAGCCTCCAAATTCCTCATCCCTGAGGTGAAACTCACACCATTCCTGAGCCCTCTTTCCCCTCTAGGGGGTTTTATCATGGACTCAAGAGAAGGGACCTTTTAAGCTGACTATGAGGAAAATCTTCCTGATAGTGAGTTCTAGGAGGCTATCTCTCAGAGGAAGCCTCCCCAGGTGAGCAGTGGACACCTCATTAGTGGGTATATTTAAAACTACCCTGCACCAAAGCCCTAGAGAACAATCCTGCCCTGAGAGGAGGCTGGGCTGAGGGATCTAGCAGGGCTTCTCCATCTCTGATTTTACTAACATGATCGTTATTGTGTTTTTAGGGTTGCTGTTAGGGAAGGATCATCACGACCATTCATCAATCCCTGCACTGCCTCCCTTACCTCCCTCTTTGTCCTGTGCAGCCTCCTCCTTGCCAGTCAGCGCCTCCCATGCTAAAACAGGGAGCAAAGACAGCAGCACTCAGACTGACAAAAGCTCTGAGCTTTTCTGGCCAAACACTGCCTCTTTCCCAGGCAGAGGAAGGCTAAGCACCACCCCTTCTAACAGCCCTGCCCTGAGACACACAGGAGCCAAAGGCGCTAGAGATAAGCTGGGTAAGTGATTCCAACCTTCATGGTACAATCAGTGCATTGATATTATGGTGACTCGTGCTATATAAGTGCCTGAGACAAATATAATTATAGAGAGACAGCTAGATAGATATAAGTACTTCTAAGCTAGATAGATAAATTGTTGTTGGTTATTATCTCAAGAAAATCAAAAGCATTCTTTAAGTCAAATTTATGAGAGAGATGTGTGCAAAACCATCTGCTTTGGCCTTGCAAACTTTCCTATGCCAAGCGGGGAAATTTCAGCATGTACAGTTATTTGTGGTGCAAAAAGTGACATTCCAGCCTGGAACTGGTCACAACATTTCTCATCTTGGACACATTCCGCATTTGTTCCCACATTCAGACAAACATGTTTTTGGAGAATTTTCCCAGTTTAAACTATTTTGGGGGGAAGAAACCATTTGTTTCATATTTTTATGAAAACTTGTGGGAAAAGTGAGCCGAAAACACAGAATGGTTTACTTTTGTGTGAAAACTAGGGACTTTTGATTTAGAAATAATTTTTGACGGATGGGAACTGTTTCTATACAGCCCTAGTTACAGGAAATATTTGTTTTAAAAACATTATTTTAAAAAAAGACAGTTTCCTACACGATCTTTTATTCCCCATGAAAACAAATCCATTGCTGTTAATTGAAAGAGGTGCAGTCAAGTAATTTAAACCCTAAATTTAGGCTTCCGGAAGGGAAATAAGTTGGGTGTAGAGTTGTGTTTTCAGCCTTTAGATACTCTTGTGATGTGGGCAATAAACAGATAGATCAAATACATGGATTACAATAGTATCTTGGACTAATTTTTCAAAATGCATGAATAGAAAGAACTGTTAGGGATTCTGCACTCAGTTATATCACTATAGATCCAGAGTAGCTGCATTGAGAAGCTTCTCCAAGTAATGGTAAAGCCTACAGCATATTGACATTTTCCAGATTTCAGTTGTTCAGTGAACATTGGGATTTTGATGCCCAAATTGAGACACCTTCAAGGGGCCGAAGATGAGCCATCCACCTTCTAAAAATCAGGCCTCGACAAGGTGTCCACAATCACAAGTGACCTGAAAATGTTGGCCAGTATGTTTTCCAAAATTCAGCTCTACGGTTTAGTTCAAGCCCCTTTTCAATTAACAATGAATTAATCTTTTAAACTTCTCTGTACTTTAATGATCTAAAAGATTCTTTCTGCTTTAAGAATCTGAGGATTCTTACGGTGATACGGCAGTTTCAGTACCTAGGTAGGTATTTATTGTGATTATTAGAAACAGAGGGGAAGAAACATTGTTAAATGTCATTTTTATCTTTACCATGTCCCTTTAATTCACACTGTGTCCAATCCTACATTCTTTGCATACTAACTAACCTACTAACGTCAGTGGGATTCCTTTGGTGCACCAGGAATTCAGGGTCAGGTTCTACTATGAAATACACCCCGGCCCTTCTTGGTGCAAATCCAATTTGCCACAGAGAAATTCAGATGTTGCAAGTGGAAGGAATTATATTTTCAAATTGCAAAACTGAAACATAAACATTAGAATTCTATCCCAGAGGGCATAAGTGACTGAGGAGTTGTTGCATCCTGGCAAACGCCAGAGGAGCTCTCTCTGGTGTCACTACCCCAGGGATGAATTTGGCTTTAAATGTTAAAAAAGTATAGTTAGAGATTTTCCCTCCAAAATATTTTGCATTAGTTTTAGAGACTTTTTGATGAATCTGGATTTCTCTCCTCACTGTCACAGAGAACTCCCCCAGCCATGGGAAGCTGTCGGATAGCAAAGGCCGAGTAAGCAGTTTGGTCCACAAGCCTGAATTTCCTGATGCCGACATGATGGAAGTCCTCATCTGAGGAAAGAGTGAATTCCTCAGGATTTTGGGCAGATACATTCAAGTCCACGGAGGCCAATGTTGTGCAAATCTTAAAAACTAAATATACGAGTCTGAAGAAAGTCTGAGAAAGATTGAGTCTGGAAGGAGCCTAGAGGCTGAGATGAATAAGACTTCGAATTACAGAGGGAAAAGAAAGAGATATAAACATGAAACGAAGGATGCTGAAAGTGGACATGAATGGCTGGAATATTCTGACAACAGAAGGTGATAAAGAAACATGGATTCACAAAGAGATGGTAAAGGAAATAGGAACTGCATTTTCTATTTTAGAGAAAAGGTATCTTTTACCATTTACAACAGTGTTCTATAATGTTATTCTATTTTACTCGCTAGCTACAACCAAGACAGAGACTGAAATCCTGGCTCTGTTGAAGTCAGTGGGAGTTTGTGAATTGTCCAGGAGAAGTTTAAACTTTTCTCAAATTTAGTCATTCATAATTGTTCACCAGATTATTTTAGCGAAAAATTCTTGGTCTGTAGATTGTGCACGAAGCAGTTTGTTGTAAGTATTTGTTTCAAGCCAGGTTGGTTTGTTTTGATTGGATGTATAGGTCTTTCCTGATTGGATGAGTGCTACTCTTGGGATCAGGTTTCCAAAGCAAATACTCATGTTTTGCAAATTCAAAATTTGCTCAAAATTCACTGTTGCCATGAGCATTTCTTTGCTAGAATTTGAATAGACGATGCATGTAAAAGGGGCATAAACCCTGTGAAAGCAATTTCTTTTACAATTTTGGTAACTATTCAGGGGAAAATGTTGAGCGTATTCCCTCAGCTCTAATACATAAAACACACACACAAAGCTGTGTAAGCAGCAGATTGTACATACATTCAAGTGCTAACAGTTATTACTCATGAGGGCTTGGAGACAATGGGCATTCAGGATGCTCAGCACCTCACAGGGAACAACATGGTGCCGCTGTAGATGTATCCTCTGGCTTATTAAAATAATCGTATAGTATTCTGCAGTATCTGTCCAAACTGCTTCAGCATTGTCAGTGGGGCAAATCCTACCCACCCGTTGTTACTGCGGGTGAATTTGAGCATGTAATGGCAGGCAGGGTTTCAGGCCAGGGTTACTACAGTGTTTGGGGCCAATTACTGTAGAGGTTTGAGCGGAATGTGGAGATCATTGACTGATTTCAGCCTAGTTCATCCAGGTTTACGACTTGCAATTGAGATCAGAATCAGGCCCTTGGGTGTATATTAAATAATAACAATAAATTAGTCAATACACTTAGGATGAGAAATAATAAACGTCCTCACTTAAAAATGGATTTCCACTGCACGTGGCACTGCAGGAGTTAATTCACACAACTGCATAGCATGGGTCAGTTTGTTGGTAAGATTTCTACAGCACTTCATAGCTGCCTGTCTGGGATGTTTACATTCATTTTAAAATACAGCCTAGTTGTGTAAATGAGAAAGGATGTTTCTGAACAGGCACAGAAATTCTCCTAATCCTTTTTTCCGTATCTTAAAGCAGGGGTTCACAAACTGGGAGTTGAGACCCCTCAGGGGGTCACAAGGTTTGTACCTGGGGGGGGTTGCGAGCTGTCAGCCTCCACCCCAAACCCTGCTTTGCCTCCAAGCATTTATAATGGTGTTAAATACATTAAAAGTGTTTTTAATTTATAGAGGGGGTTGCACTCAGAGGCTTGCTATGTGAAAGGGGTCACCAGTACAAAAGTTTGAGAACCACTGTCTTAAAGGGACCAGCCCTTATATAAGTAGCCATTCCTCACACGAGTCGAGGTTACAGGACGGGGCTCAAATTTTGATTATGACACATGTGCATGTGTGTTGAGAGATGGAAGATTTAACATTTCTAAGTTCACCAGGTTAGGGTCCCTGAGGGATATTTTGGTGGTGAGTTTGTATATTTACACATGCATAACCATTGCTGTCTAAATGATCATTCCTTAGAAGTGACATTCACCCCCCATGCAGAGGAGCCTGCACAAGACCTGTGCCCCACTTAAACCCTCCCACTAAGGCTTAAATGGGATGAAAGTGGTACCTGTCCTGGCTCTCTGCACAGGGGTGAATTTCATCCTTCATGATTCAGCCAGAATTTGGTCAAATCAAAACATGTTTTCGTGGAACAGGACCATGTCTGCAGAGTTCCTCAACAGGAGCTATTGGTGCTGGAATTCACCTTTTCATCACTTTGGTTGTGGGGCTGTTCTAAGAAAGGTCACAAGAATTCTTTTTTTTCCCCACTCAAATACTGCTGGAGATTTGTTCAAACTAAAAAATAAATGGCTTCTGGACAGAGCCCAAGTTTTGAAAATGTCTCCCCAAAGTCTAATAACTGGGAGCCTAGAGACTCCCCATGCGCTAAACTTGGCTCAGCCATTGTCTCGCTGTGTGTCCTTGGGCAAGTCAGTCAATCTCTCTGGGCCTGATTCATCGCTGTGCTACTCCAGTTTTACACCAGCGTCACTGACCTAAAATGGGAGGAGCGCAGTGTAGCATCAGGCCTTGTGTGTTTGAGCGACCCCAGCTGTAAAACGGGGATAGGAATCCTTTCCTTCCTACCAGGGCTGTGGAGAAGGTTGGTGTTTGTGCAGTGCTTCGATGATGCAAAGCGCTATATAAATAAGTGCTTAGTGTTATTAACCCAAAAAAATCTCCCCAGGAGAAACCAGCCCCCCCGGGCCTGATCCTACATTCCTTGTTCACCCAGGACTCCCTCAAGTTAATGGGATTTGAGGCACTTCAGGAATGCAGAACTTGGCTCCAAGAGTTTAACTGCATCATTGTTAATCATTTGGTTGTTTACTGCTGCGCTGCCATCTCTCTTCTCCACTTGTTTTCTCCCAAGATGAAACATTCCTCATTTTAAAATGTACCTTTCATTGGTGTAAGGTGTGGCGGTAATTACGGGGGGACACCTCATCATGAAACCTAACACTCCCACACAACTTTGCTTCTTTTATTCCAAATGCTGGTGAGTAGTTGTTGCTCCTCATCATTTTTAAAAAAAATAATCTTTCCAAATCTTTGGATTCTCTTTTCCTACTGAAGTTAGGAATTAATACGGGGTGAGGGTGATTTTGCAGTACTGGTGGTCAAAGATTCAAAGTGTGCCCAGGCACCTCTTCCGCCTCGCAGGCCTCAGCACTTGCTCCTCTGCTGGTGGAGGCAGGCCTGGAGTCAATCAGCCCCACTCCAGACAGTGTTTATTTTCCCACTAGAGGATTACTTGTCAATATTTTCCAGCTAGGCTTCAGGGGAGGCCCAAAGAGTTCTCCGCCAAACCAAAGGACACAAATTCACAACACAGAAAAGGGGAATACATTTTCCTACCCTCTTTCTGGGGTTGGGTGGCCTTGGTGGCCCTGGGGTGCCAGTTCATCCCCTAAACAGGCAGTCAGTTAGGTAGCTTCCCCTGTAGCGAAGCGAGCAGCCTTCCACCATGGAGGAGTCCTTTCTCCCTGCTGCCACGAGCCTTGCAGCAGCTAGTCTCTCCCCCTCCTCGCTCACCAGCGGAGGGGTTTTTAAAGGTTTCAGGCAGCCCTTAACTGGACTCACGTATCCCTAGTGGACCTGAGGTAACCCCTTTCCAGCTTATAGGGAAAAGGGCTCATCTACCTGCCTTCCACCACTCTCTTCCAGCTGTCCAGCCGGACTTTGTCACCAAAGTCACCTGTTTAGATGCATTCATGTGTTCAGGGATGGCCCCAGGTCATGTGGGGAACCCTCTTGCAAACACTTACATTGAGCTCTTCCTACCAGCCACGAGATTCTGGAGACTGCAAACCACTTTCAAGTCTGCTTCCACTGAAAACTTGTTTCAGAGTGGTAGCCGTGTTAGTCTGTATCAGCAAAAACGATGAGGAGTATTTGGGCATAAGCTTTCGTGGGCTAAAACCCACTTCATCAGATACATGGAGTGGAACACACAGTAGGGAGGTATAAATACACAGCATATGAAAAGATGGGAGTTGCCTTACCAACTGAAAACTTGTGCTCTGAAGGCCTGCAGGTGCCAAAAGCCAGCCATGTGTCTGATACACATGGAGTAGTGCATAGCAAAGCGATACTTTTTTTTATACTAAACAACTTTGTTACATCTATGCACTTATATTTCTCTATACATATAAATATTCATATGTCAGCATCTCCCTCTCTCTAATTTTTGCACTTGTTAAACCAAGAAATAGGGTATGTTTTTAAGTATTAGCAGCTTTGCCTTGCAAAGCAAATGCATAAACCCTTTGGAAGATGTTACGCAGTTTGATATGCATTGTAACAATAATTCTTTTTCCTCACTTTGTTAATTTAAATGTTTTAAGAGCATATGCATTCGACATATGGCCTCTATCTGTCCCCCATACGGTCTTGATCTTACAACCTTGATTCACATCAGTAGTCCTTACTCAAGTGAACAGGTGTGGCAAGATTGCACCCTTAATCAGGCATGGATCAGCAGAGACAAGGGAGTAAAAATAAAACTACTAGTGATAAATATTTCCCCAAATGGACCTTGGACCTTTTCCAAGGAATAAGGATGCACAAAAGCTTTGTAGTCCTTTTGTTTGCTCAGTATTTTATTGCTAGCTATACTATTTCCTTTCAGGCAGAACTATTTAATAAATGCTGTACATATATACAACTAGTCATTCAGAAAAAATAGTGTTCTATTAATGTGCATGATGGTATTGTTTTCACACAATTATATCTGCTAGCGGTATAACCTTGCTTCTTTTGGTCACTTAGAGTACAGCTCTCCCTCTCTCTTTATATATATTTCCAGCATTTCTTTAAGCATCAATCTCTCCCGTTTCAATACCCAAAGGTGTGTTTACAATTGATGCTGCCCAGGATTGTAGTCACCTACAGAAAACTATTTATTTAGATAGCTTTTGAATTCACAGCTGAAATAAACGTAGAGGGTAATTCTTCCTGGTTTTGTTGAGCTTGTGACATTTTTCTTTTCATGCAAAGGAAGGCAGTGGATCTCTACCCAAAGTTAGAGCATTAGTGGCAATATGTGTAAAGTACTACTGTTAGTAAATCAGTTCACCTAGCCTCAGCAAACCAGTGTAACTGCATTTCTACTGTTCTTCCCAACTGCTTGATTTGTATTGTGCTTTGTGAAATTGTGCTGTAGCCATTCCAGGTGATGTTGGTAACTGATTGTAAAATATTGTCATTTTCTACTGTTGTTGGTTGTATAGAATGGTTGGTGTACAGTGTTGTACAGCTGGAGGGGTGTTTGTACATATGTGGGGAAATGAAGAACATTATGTGTCACTCGCGGCAAATATTGATATTGTTGGTCAGCCAAAGATTTTCCTATTCTTTGCTGCTTAAACTTGTGCCTTAATATTGTATATAATAAATGTATAAAATGTTTCCTTCCTTGAGTTTCCAGCGTGAAATGTATTAGATCTATGAAAAAAACACGAATTTTTAAACCATTCTCTGTACTTTTGCAGGCCAGTTACTAAAACTGGAAAGTGATGGCTCATTTCCCCTTTTTCATAACCCTAAACTATTGACATCATGGCATACTGGTGGAGAGGAAGTTGATTGTGTCTCATCTGAAAGACAAGGACAATACAGACTCCTTGTACATGGCAAACTCTTATAGATAGGCCGGCAAAGTGAAGAGTAAAAACAAATAAAGGAAAAGAACCTAGCCATGACCCAGCAAGTGTGAAGAATGGGATCAGATAAATTAATTCTATCTTCTCTAGTTGGAAGACACTTCTTTATTTCACAGATAAGGCCTGATTTCTGCTCCCATTGTAGTTGGTGGCAAAACTCCGTCTGATTTCACCAGATCAGGACTGGGCCCTTATGAATTAAAGTAACAATATCTATGCTAAGTTTATGAATGGGATTATAAAATGGGATTGCCTGCATTAACTGGAGACTAGACTCGATGACCGAAGAGGTCCCTTCCAGCATTATGTCCTATGTAAGTAATAAAGACCATAGGCGCAATTCTGTATGGCTCTATGGATTTTGAGAGTGCCCAAAACTTCCCAGTATCAAGACCTTCGGAAGCATAGTTTGTTGGAGTTTTTTCACTCAAGTGAAAGAAACAGTAGGGGAAAAAGTGACACATGCATGAGTATCTTTCATTTAATAACTGAGATCTGCTCAGCAGACTCTCACATGCTCTTGAATGAGTCTATTAAAAAATTCCTGAAATGACTCCAGAGGAGCGCCATGTATGTAAGGTATGAAAACCATGAAGTGTATCTTCCCATCTGCTTGCCACATTCCTGCCTGGCTCTCCTGCACCTGTTTTAAAAAAAACAGCCCTGGAATTAACGTGTCAGAAGACACACAGGGATGTTATAGATAGCAGCGTGGATGGCATCCTTCATACATTGCAGCAGTCTCATGTCCCACATACTCAACACAGGTTTCAGTGCCACGCTGGGTCACCTATCTTAGCACGCTCTCCAAGATGCAGCAGCTGTATCTATTTTTAGTGCAGGTGGGCTTTGCCAACAACAGCAAGAAGAAATTAGGTAACAGGCTCGGGGCCCATAGAAGAATCTAGTTGTTTGAAAAAAAAGCTGGAGCCTGGATTTTGTAGCAAGATTTAGGACTTAGCTGAGTGGCTTGAGATCATGTCAGCAAACTAACCAGTCCAGGAAAAAATGAAATGAAATGTGTAGGAAAAGCTGTATAAAAAATGTGTCCAGCTATAGACCAAAATGGATTTGATCCCATTTTGGAAAGCCTACAAACACAGGAGCATCCCAAACTGCCAGCCAAATAAGGAGGATCACTGAGGCACCAAAATAGCACCATTGGACTGTGAGTCAGGAGACCCCAGCTCTGTTCCCATCTTTGCCGCTGACCTGCTGTGTGAATTGGGCAAATTACTTCACCTCTCTGTGCCTCAGCGCCCCAGCCGGTAAATGGGAGCAATGATACTGCCTGGGAGAGCTGCCCATGAAAAGAAACACAGAAGGGCGAAGTGGTGTTGGCAATAATCCAGTCACTGCGCTTGGCAGTTCTACTGCTTCTTTGTTGCCTTGTTCCTTCCCAACGTGACCGACGAAGGCGTCTTTTACAAAACAGCCGTAGCTCAGAGTCCAGTTAGTCCTGCCTTGGCGTAACAATTTGCGTTCAATAGTTTGCTTTAATCACATCTACTGTCATTCAGATCTTAGTTTTGGAAAGTGTTCTCACTCTCACCCAGATGTCAGAAATTGTTTCATTGATAAACCGCTTCAGAATCTGCCTCCATGGTACCGTGCTGAGTCATTGCCTCTCCTGGAATCCACAGGAAATGGTGTAAGCACCATGGCTTCAGATATTTCAAACTCAGGGCGACAAATGCAGACGGAGACAGTGGCCAGTGTAAGAAGCACGCTGGCACCGGCGGGAACAGACTAGGTGACCATAGAACTTCTAGGAGCTCGCCTTAAATCCATGATCCTTCCCACTTTACCATACAGTTGGCTCTTGTTGCAAAAATGTGCTATTTAGGATGCAGGGCTGCTGTTACAACAGTGACTTGCACTGCAGCTCTCCTATGCTGGGAAGCACGTCCATCAGACAGCAAGCAGGGAAAACGAGGAATAATGAGCAGCAGCGTCACATCCGCTGGGAAGCCCAGTATAAGGAGAGCAATTGGATCATTTCTGTTCTGTATTAATGGTAATCCATCCCTTACGCCATGGCTTTGCAGGCAAGTGAAACTAGCTTAGACTACACCACGCTCTCAGGCTAGGAATTAGGGCCAGGAATTAGATGACACTAAGACTGAAAGACCCTAGGGCATTTTCTTTCATAGCAGCTACTTCAGCTTTAGATGAATAAATATCACAGCTCATAGTCACCAGAGGATCCCTTGGCTCTCTGGCACAGAGGGTTAAATCCCCATCCCCTCACCCATGCAGCAGTCCAGTGCACCACTTTAAGTCCAGGAGTAACTCCACTGAAGTCAAGGGCCCTACACAGGTGTACACAATATCAGTATCAGGCCCAAAAAGTATCGAATTTGGGCCCAGGCCTGGAAAATGCTGGGAGTTGAGAAGCAGCCGAGAAGGGGCACTCAACACCTTGCGGGATCTTGACTTTTCCTGAGGCCATTCTGTAAGGTGCTTTGAAAGCCACTGGGGTTGTATCAATGCAAGATCATTATCCGTTACTGAATGTCAGTCCACAATGGCCAACAGTTTCCAGCCGTTCCTAAAGGTAGGGTTACCATATTTAACAAATAAAAAAAGAGGACCCTCCACGGGCCCTGGCCCCGCCCATTTCCCAGCCCCGCCCCAACTCCACCCCTTCCCTGCCCTAACCCTGCCCTAACTCCGCCCCCTCCTCCCTCCCACTCCCAGCCACGCAAAAAGGGCTGCCCGAGCGCTACCGGCTTCACGGTTTGCCGGGCAGCCCCCAGACCCTGCGCCCCCGGCCGGTGCTTCCCCAGCGCAGCTGGAGCCTGGGAGGGGAAGCGCCCAGCCGGGGGCACAGGGTGTGGAGGCTGCCCGGCAAACGGTGAAGCCGGTAGCGCTTGGGCTTCGGGCAGCCCCTATGCCTCCAGACCCTGCGGCGCCCGAGCCCCGGGGGGGGAGGGGCACGCCGGCGACCGGGGGCTGGGGGCCCAGGGGG